CAAAGAACGAACACGTAAGCAAGCAAACAAACAAAATGAAAACATTCTGTGAAGTTGGAAAAAATCAGTGTGTTGTAGCGTAAACCGGATCTCGGAGTATTTTTATTTTTACACCAGCTGTTTTCGAAAGTGTACTTTCAACTGTTTCTGAAGCAATACTCATACGTAAATTTCATTACCATTACTTTCCTCTTTTCAGCTTCGAAGAATGTACCACACTTTGTTGGTCGTCTGCATCCTTGGCGTGACTGTGTCTGCTCAGTGCCCCGGGAAATGCTCATGCTCTCCAGCAGGTGTGAGGTGCAGAGGTCTTCGGTTGACTGTGGTGATACCTACAGACTACGTCAACATCTCCATTACCAATTCCAACTTGAAATCTCTGGACAACACCTCGTTCGGCAGGAATATCGAACATTTCATAATCAGTGAGAGCATCATCACATCCATCGCCCCATCAGCCTTTACGGGCCTGGTGAACGTTAGGAGTATCACGTTTTACAGTACAACTATTACAGCCATCAAACCTTGTTCTTTTTCTTCCATCCGTCATTCAGCTTCCATCTCCTTTGAATTAGCAAATATAGCAGACATAGAAAGAGGAGCATTTTCTAACCTGAAAGGACTACAGCAGCTTACATTCAAGGGAAGTCATATAGAAACAATCCATTCCGATGCGTTTTTTGATTTCGACGTTCAAAGATTCCTTTTGGACGACACGGAGATTCCCACATTGGAAACTGGCGCTTTCAATGGCAAAGTTGAGGTGAATGAATTAAACTTCACTGGTGTGTCTTTTACTACTATCAAAAGCCAAGCTTTCATAGGTTTTTCTCGAATCAGTCGTTCAGTGATAACATCTTGTAGATTCGAAATTCTTTATTGCAACCCACTCCCATATCTCTACCAAGCAACGCAGGCGGCAAAAGGGACTTTCTCTCTATCCAACTCTTCGTTTGTGTGTGACTGCTTCACAGTGCCTCTTATGAACTTTATTAATGTGAACAGTATTTATATTCCGAGTTCTGTACTATGCGTATTGCCGCCAACGGGTAGTCGAGTGCCTTTTAATGCAACTTCGGTATCGGACGCATGCCCCCAAAAATTGGATCTGAACTGTGGAAAAAAGGTCAGAACGCCCATGACACTTCAGTGTGGGGGAGAGGTGTTGATACCTGCGACAACCAACCCAAACACTGTTCATGTGATTGATGATGTGACAACTAACAGTGGAAGAACATACACTGAGCCTCATCAGGGCTCATTCAGCGGTGGGCAAAATCAAAATAGTTCAGCCTATCGTTCTTCCTCATTAGTTATGCCTCTTAAATTGTGCACATCAGCGGTTTTTATCGTCATGTTGTTCTACTGATCTTTTTTTCAATCACTTCTGTTCCTAATCATGATGCTTTTTTACTTTTGTTCATGAAAGGCAAGTAATCAGTTGTGTGCCCTGGCACAGTCCCAGGTGGAGCACTCACTTTTGATGTGAAGTAAGCTCTACAGAATAATAGGTTGTCTTATTGTCCTTAGTTGCCCCCCCCCCCCTCCCCAAACAAAACAAAACAAAATCAAAAACAAAAACCAAGAACAAACATATAAACAAAAGAAAAACATAAACAAAAACACACAACATCAAAAAACAACTACAAAATAAACAAACAAACAAACAAACAAACCAACGAACAAACAGAAAAAAGACAACCCACCAACCAAACAAAAATAATATTACAATGCTATAAACATAACATAGTCGGTGGGCTATGAGTATGAGTGCAATGTAGATGGTTGCGGTTCAGATACCGACATAGGATTTTTAAAACTTCAATAGTGCAAGTGGTTTTCGTGTCTCTTACTGTTTAGACTCAGCCCTTCCGGGGTTTGGTGTAAATCTAGCAGTGCCGATTTTTTGGAAAGATGCCCGAAACCCGATAAATTTCAAACCATTATATAGAGGAAAGAAATGAAGGACATATGTATTATAGAGAAACATTATTTTCAAATAGACGGATAATTGATAGTGTAAGTATGTTTGTAGATGTACCAGTAGCTGAGAAATGCACAAGGAAGCAAAATTGCAGTTAGTGAGGAGAGACAGTTTAGGAGTATATGAGAGTGAGTTTTTTTGAGTGTGTGGCTCCGGCAGATGCAGGAAAAAGAATCTTAAAAAAAGAAGAAAAAAAACAGACCCCTAAAACAGTTGGAATTGACACCCTACCATTAAAATAACAAACTCGACATTCTGTTGAGGTTTGTTTTGTAGACTGCGGTCGACCTTGAAACTTGGATGGGGTTTAAAATTAAACTTTTACTTTTACAGGGTCTATTGTCCTACATTGGGGGAAAAGTGAATAAATTAGACACAATCTTACTGTTGATTGCCATTCTTTGAATCATCATCATCAAATGTCAGATGTGCGTAGACTTCGGTGGTTATAGTTCTCCACTCACTTCTCTGCTCGGATGCTCTAAAAGAAAAGCTACATTGTCCTGATCTTTCCTCCGTCACCCATCCGTTTCGGTTTCGGCTCTCCAAGTAAGTTGCTTTTGGCCTACCCCTGCCTTGCCTGCATTAAAATTTGCCAGTGAGAGCTAGATATTCAAGTAAGGCCTTTATGTCTATTCGAGCGTCCCAGATATAGAATTTGTCTTTCGTTGGATTCTCTGCATACGAGCCAACAGTCATGCACTCGTTATTCCTAAACTCAGTGAGCATGTGCCGGTGTCTGTGGTGTGAGGGTTAGGGTCCTCTCACGCTGTAGATGTCAGTTGGATTCATATTACGTTTTTTTATCGAGTAGTTCTGTCTGTTTTTTAGGATGCTGTATCCCACTCCGCCCGGGCTGGCCCTAACAAACAGGGTCGAAGAAGTTTGCCTTCGAAGTAATCTAGATCTAGATCTAGTTGTATCGACGGGTACATAAAATATACACTGTTGGTGTCCTATTCGACAGTAGTTAGCAATAGTTGCCCCAACAATTCTACGCCATTGCGTTTTCGAAGAGTGCACTTTAAAAGGTTCCTGATGCAGAGTGGTTGGTGATTTCAAGCCCTCTCATTATGTCAAGCAGCATCGGCGACACGGCAGTTAGGCAGTTAGTGTTGTTGTGTGTCCTTAATTTAGGACACATAGGGTGCTGCATAGTGGCCAACAGGAATTGCGTGTTTTTGTAACATTATGTATACAAACGTGATGTTGAGTGTTAGTGTAATGAAACGTTGATGAATTATCTATCATAATATGTATGTATGTATGGATGTATGTATAGATAAGTGTATGCATGTATGCACGCACGTTTGTATGCATGCATGCATACATTCATGTACCTTAATTGCAATTATGACTCAAATTTTCCCAAGACGACCAATGAAAGTCTTAACATAAGACTTACCGTCCTTTAAGTCCAAGAAGAAGTTCTGAAGCTGAAAACTCGGGCAAGAAAGAAAGCAAAATGATTTAACTTTTATGAAGCTTTTATTCAGGCCCACTTCCACTAGATTCAATGTTACCACACACTTCAGAGGATGCTGCAGTGATAGTACTGGTAAAACCACAGTAAATACAGATTTGGTACAATTTGGCGTAGGTCTTGTTTTTCTTCAACGTGCGTTTTTACAGTGTAAAACATTTTACTTGTAGTGCATTGTATTGCTGTTTCAATGAGTGTGTACTCAGTGAGCTGTACTATGCGTAGCAAAATAAAATATTTGAGAGATGGGGGAGATGGTGGGGGAGGTCATCCGAAAACTAAATGCAGTCTTGACAATCGCTACCTCAGTGTTAATTAAAATCTTATAGGATCTTTAGAGAGGCTGTATCAACCCACACACACAACTGGATAAGGCCTTCTTCTTCTCTTTCTCCTGCAGTGGGTACCAGAGGGTGGTTTGAGGGTGCGTCCGAAGGACTTCCTACTGTACCCTCCATCATTTCATTCAGCTTGTATATCTTGTTTCCCCCTTCCCAAGCATTGTGGCAGTTATTATATCTGTGTTCATGTGCTTTTTTTATAATCCATTGTAGAAGTCCTGCACTATCAATCTTTTTTTCATCTGTCTTATAAATATGAAGTAGAATATGTATTGTACTCACCCCCAAGTGAGTATTATACATCATTGCACGACTTTGGAGTGGCGCCTTGTTTTTGTAGCCTTTGTGATTTTGTATGTAAAATATTATTATGCTGTGAATGCCAATTTACTCAGTGCACCTTGCAAATGTTGGGCGGCTGGAATATTTCGAGAATTTATATTCTCTTCAAACACTTGAATGGATAAATAAATACACAGTTATTACACAGGAAAACTTCTTATTTAAACCAAGTTTCCTTCTGCATTTGTCTTAAGGTTGTTCAATTTAGTAATAGAAACCAATATCAGTAGAGGAAAAATATCCGGGTTTCATTGGCCTTCTTTGCAGTTTTCAAGGGCAAGGCAGAAGAAACATGTTTGTGATCCTAGGTAACAACAACTCTTATTTACCAGTCTGGTGAAGCAGCTGCTTGCTCCACTGGCCAGACCATCTTGCTAAATACTTCTGGCCTGGTAAACGTCAAAGTGACGTAGGTTTTGCCCATGCTTGAACTCATTATCTCCTTTCTTACGACAAAGTGTTTCATGGCCTCAAAAACTAGTTTAGATACATCGATGTTTTCTTCGCGAGGAAAAAGCAGCATGCTGTTGTCTCCTCGGGTGTCTTCTGGTAAAACATTAGCCGATTTCTTGAAAGGAGACACAACCTCTGTGCTTTCCTGAAGACTTCTGAGGAACTTGTAATCTCGGTGTAAACATCCCAGGTGGGGTGGGTACGTAAACGGGGCTAATCTCTCCGGGGGTCTAAAAGGGGCCAGGAGAATTCTTTGCTCTTGACACTCTGTGCATGTACACTCAATAGCGAATGTCTTGAGATCCGACACTAGCCTCTGGGTGCGCGTGTCTTCTGAGAGTTCAGACTCGTCTCGGTCAGGGGAACATTCTGCATTTCCCTGACTGTAGTCCACAGACACTGACTCTGCGAGATTTCTACGCTCTGAAACTGTAGAACGTCTGTGAGCTTCTGTTTCAGGGCCGTTGGTGCCTTTCATCTCTGCGGACTGGTTTGTATTTATCAGACCTGCTGTCGAAATGAGGGGCAACAAAGAGCACTTTTTGCCGTTATCGTGTTCGCCAGTCCTCACTGCACGTTGCAGCCTGTTGAGCTGCGGTCGGATGCAATAATTCCTTTCGAAATTTGGAGACGGCTTGTTTTGTTTCGGTGTATAACAACTTTTTGTCAAGGATCTAATGTGCACATGTTCGCTTTTGGGCGGATACTGTGGACACTGGTACGATTGTCTCGTTTTTTTGGTCTCAATTCTATGCATCCACTTATTTTTCATGTACGATTTTGGACCACACTTTAATTTGCTCGATTCCATGACCAATCCTTGGTCTAAATAACATCTCCAAGAAAACAGCTTATCTTTCAGACTGCGCCAGTCATCCCTCTTGCAAAAGCTTATTTCCTTTTCTCCTGCAATAACTGAACAATCCTTTTGTGACAGTGGTTCTAAATAGAGCTGTGAATTCCCTTTCAAATTACCTCCACTCTTACCGCCATTTTCTGAAATGTGGAATTTCTTTGACGACTTCGAAATACATGGTAATGGCAGCGATGAATTAATCTCAAAAGGTCGGTTTTGACTTTTATTTCCGTTGCCTTTACTCACGTCTTTCTGCTTTCCCCCTTTCTGTTTCTTGTCCTTGTGGCTCTTTTCGGTTTCCTCAGGCTGGGGCTCTTTCTGGAAGCGTATCAGAGACTCTAACACTTTCCTCTCGAGTTCATTCTCTACTGCTGCACCCATTTCACAGTCTTGTTCCTCGTTCAGATACGATGACCAAGGGTCTCGGAGCGGAATTCCTGAACTTGATTTCGTCCTCATCTTCTTGGGCTGTCTTTGTATTCGGGGCGCCATTGCCTTTCTCCTTGCTATTTCTCGGGCCCTTGAGAGACACTTAAACCGGTTATGAATGTCAAATGGCAAAGATTTCGCCAAATTTTCGAATATATCTTTTGCTTTCTTAGTACGGTCTTTACATTTGGCCCGATTGTCTTGGAGCAGTCTATGTTCTAATTTTAGTTTGTTTTCCTCTCGTGGTTGATAGATACCCGAGACAAGGAGTTCATTCTGAGTTAAATTTAGTCTCATCATTATAGGCTCTTCTTCCTCTTCACTGGTCAGATCAGAGACAGAGTCCATTGCCGAAATTGAATCGAATGTTATGGCACTAGCCTCCACTGAAGGCGACACATGAGAGTCTCTTTTTGCAGTTTGGGATAGACTTTGGTTTTTTACACTTGGCAAAGAAAGGCGTTGGGCGTTGTCTTTGTTTTTTATGAGCTCAGCTTTCGAGTTTTTTTGCAAACTTCCTTGGTGTGACTGAATGGATTCAGTCCTTAGCCCTGATGTCGTTGATGGTTTTGGCATATTAGTGTTTATGCTTACCAAGGAAGATTTATCCTTTGACATTCTTTTCGTGTCAGCTGCGCTTCCTTTTGTGTCAGCTGCGCTTCCTTTTGTGTCAGCTGCACTTCCTCTTGGCGTTTTCGATTCTGATTGTCTGAGGCTCGAGTGGATGCTTGCTTTTGAGGATTTGGATACCCTCTGTGTAAGGCCCTGGTTTGGTAGACTTGCATCACCTGAACCCTCTTCCACCAAGTGTGGCTCTTCAGCTATCCACTCTACATCAGCATCGTCTATTGTCGCAGGTCCTTTACCTTTCCCTCCCTTCTCTATCTTTTCTTTGGGTTCCTTTTGTTCCACTTTTGTTTCTTTATCTTTCTTGTTTTTTCCCTTCCCCTTTCCTCCGTCTTCAGCTTGGTTCTGTGCGAGTGCCTGATAAATCTCCTCTAACTCAGACTTTTCTTTTTGTAAGACTTCGATCCTCTCAGCCACTGACGTCGTCTCACTGGCAGGTAAACGGACGTTGTTCATTCGACACTCAGTCAAAGCCAGTGGCTGACGCACAAAGTCCGTTTTTTTGGACGTTTCGCCTGGTGATACGTTCTTTCCGCAGGGAGATTCGGTGAACGCGGTTGGTGTGCTTGATGCATCGGGAGGTTTCTCGAAGAAGACAAGCTGCACGAGGGTGGTCTCATACAGCCACTGGATCAGAGATAACAATTATATTTAAAAAAAATAAAAAATGACAACAAACAATAAGAACAAGAACAAACAAACACAAGACTCAAAACTGTTACTGATCATTTCATGGGTAAAAATGTGATTTCGTTCATGGGAAACCAATGGGTAAAGAAATGGAAGACTCGACTTTGCTGCACCGCTCCGATAGCTCAGACTGATAGTATCAACACAATTCAAATTCCCAGTGGGGCATTTTTGCACTTTGGTTGTTCTGTCCTATCGGTGAAGGACAGATTTGAAAGCCCTATTCCTCAAATCCCAGTGTTTTAATGGCGTAAAACACCAACATACAAAAATTAGCTCCATCGTTGCAAAAGGAACCACACATTTTGGAGAAATTAAAAGATCTAAGAAGCCTTCGAAGTCCAACCGTACACATTTCCTGACTTTTTTGGGGTCGAAATAATATCACCAAAATAGCATCAAATAATTTAGCGTGCATAGTCGACATGTACTACAACTTATTGCTATTTAAGGGTCACATTGTGCGTCTCTCTCTCTCTCTCTCTCTCTCTCTCTCTCTCTCTCTCTCTCTCTCTCTCTCTCTCTCTCTCTCTCTCTCTCTCTCTCTTCTCTTTTCTACTTTTCTTTTTGCTCTAACATAATGGGAATGTGACAGTGTGTGTGTGTGCCTGTGAGTGAGAGAGTGAGTCTGTGTGCGTGTATGTGTGTGTGTGTGTGTGTGTGTGTGTGTGTGTGTGTGTGTGTGTGTGTGTTTATGTATATATATATAATATTATGTATGTGTATATAATGTTTGTGTTTGTGTGTGTGTGTGTGTGTGTGTGTGTGTGTGTGTGTGTGTGTGTGCGTGTGTGTGTGGTGTTGTGTTTATGTTTGGACTTGTGAGGGCTCGTAGTATGTAAATAGATTCTCTATGATCATTGGTCCTCACAATGCGGAGTGCTCTTGTTTTGGTTTGCAAGCTGACTAAACATTATCAAAATATTAATGTTTCGTCTGTTATTGTTATGCTCTTATCAGGGGCTCGCTCGGACTAGAGACACTGGAGTGTTCTGTTCTTCAAGTAGTTAATTCGACCAACAAATTCAACACACTCATTTGTGTAGTATTGTGCCGAAACATTAACATTTTATGAACGTGCTATGGTAACTGAGCTTGCTATTGAGCTGCGTGTGTTGCCAATGATTATAATTGATGACTTGTACAATGATTTGATATCTCTCTTGTGCATTATTATAACTGCTTTCGTAGCTACGTAGCTTCTTTTGATTAAAATGTATAGAGCGGAGCTTTTTTCCACTCTTCGTATGTTTCATTAAAAAAAATAATTTTGGGTTGCTGTTGTTTGTAATAAAGGTAATGGTGACTGATGTTTATTAATATTATTCATTTTGTTTTGCACTTGAATACCCTTTCAAACAGCATCATACCCATATTCTGGAGCAGCAGCACCACTACCACCACCACTACCACCACAACCACCACCACCAACAACACAACCGTCATCACCATCACCACGACCACCACCACCACCACCACCACCACTACCAACAACTGCAACAACACAACCGTCATCACCATCACCACTACCACCACCACCACCACCACCATTACCAACAACTGCAACAACACAACCGTCATCACCATCACCACTACCACCACCACCAGCACCACCACCACCACCACCACCAACAACAACAACAACAACAACAACACAACCGTCATCACCATCACCACCACCACCACCACCACCACTACCAACAACTGCAACAACAACACAGCCAACACCACCGCCACCACTACCACCACCACCATAATCCTTATCGTTATTTTCCTCTTCGTTCTCCCTCTCCTCCTTCTCCCCCCCTTGCAACTTCATTTCTTTTTCTTCCTCCTCATCCTTCACTCCTCTTCCTCTTCTTTACCTTCCTCCTCCTCGATCTCTTCCTCTTACTCAACCCCCTCCTTTTTCTCCCAATCCATGACCTCCTCCTCCTTCTCCTCTTCCAATCTCACCGTCATCTTTATCAACTCATGTAATTCAAAGTAATATAAAAAGAAAAGTCTAGACACTTAGCTTCTTTGGGTTATTGGTTAGGATCTACGTCGCAAGACAAGAAGTTGATTGACAGACTAACTAACAAACTGACCGTCACGTTCTTAGTGCGTTTTGACAATTATTTTACCTTTGGTGGTGGCAGATCGGGGGGTACTTCCTTCTCGTCAATTACCTCCCCTTCCTGGCCTACAGGAGGCTGATTTTCTCCAGTAAAAATTCCACCCTCTGCCTTCCCTTGTTTTTCATCCAATTCTGGAACTGACTCCGGTCCCTTTTCTTTCTAAGATGATAAGCGAATGCATTTCTTTGTTTTAGTAAGCGTTTTACAACACTTGCAACACAATCAGGTCATACAAGTGCCTAAGATTACATGTGTTACAAGAGAGTAACAAACACAAAAAGGAGGAGGAGAGATAAGAACGATAGATGTTTGATAGGAACGAAGGAGCAAACTACACCAGAGCACCCACCAACAACCTTAACAGATCAACGGTGCACGTTGGACAGAAAAAAGTTTTAAAGATTGATGTTAAAGCTTTATTCATTCTTGAGTATCAACCCTAAAGACTCAAACGGTTTTACAGAGACCGTTTCGGAAGCCATGCTCGTTCCAAATAAAACACAGCTGCCTTTCAAGTGACATACGGCTGCGTTACGACCTGCCATACTCCTAGCGCCTCTTCTTCAAATAAGTCAGTTTCTTCTGATTGGTAGGTGATCATTTTCTGCAAGTTTGCTATTTGAACTAGTTGCGAAAGACAAACTAAAACTAACTTTCCTAAGGTAACATCTTCCTACCCAACGGAGCCAGCAATAAAAACAGGCAACTTTTAAATGGTAAACCCAACACCTTTCGTCTCGACTTGTATTTCTCTGAGATATTGCAGTTTTCTTTTCCTTCTTTCTAATCCTTTGCAGATTTAGACACAAACGACACTTTTTCGGTGCCCCTCCTACCCATCCGTGCTTTAGGATATGAAAAGTCTCTGTTTTATTTTGGGCGTCAGTATCTCCTATAAGACACATTTCATCACTGACTAAACATGAGAGGTAACCAAGACTTCAAACGTTAAGAGCTGAGTTGTGCCCTCGATAAATACCCAAGAACCCGTTTCGCCTAAGGGTAGACCCACACCGGCGTCGGGCCCGACGGTCAGACCGGGCCGTTTTCCGACACAAAAGAATGGACGCCGGCAGAACAGTAAAGACAGGGAATAAAAAACGACAACCCGCCCACACCAAAACCCGACGTCCCGGACCAG